AAAAAAAAAAAAAAAAGAATTGGAGGACTTGCAGCCTTCCTTTCTGAGAACTCACATCTATTCTCTCCATTTCAGGGAGGATTAAAAGCAGTTGTGTGGACAGATACATTTCAGATGGTTGTCATGATTGTGGGATTTTTAACGGTTCTCATTCAAGGATCAGCTCATGCTGGAGGATTACACAATGTCATAGAACAATCAACAAATGGATCTCGACTAAATATATTTGAGTACGTCCAATACTAGTTTTTCGTGTTTTATAAAGATTTAGCTGTATAACCTCAGCTAACTAAAATAATATTTGGGCATCAAAGGAACATCTTTGTTCACTCAATTCTCTCTGCCTCATAGCTTTGATGTAGATCCTCTCAGGCGGCACACTTTTTGGACAATCTCGGTGGGAGGAACTTTTACATGGCTCGGGATCTATGGAGTTAATCAGTCCACCATACAGCGATGCATCTCTTGCAAAACAGAAAAACATGCAAAACTGTAAGTTATAAATAAACATTTCAGTTTTCTTAGCCTTTATTGGATACTTATTATATGCTTCCGTGTGTGTGTGTGTGTGTGTGTGTGTGTGTCAGAGAGAAATGGAAAGTTTTATTTAACCCTCTAAGCAATTTTTTGAGGCAGGCATTACTACTCCCATCTCAGCAAGGAAGTGGGTTTGAACTTCCGTCTCTCTGCCTTTGCTCTCCTCTACACCATTTGCTGCCTGCACTTACTGAGAACTCACTAGGCGAAATTAGGTGCCCTGGGTGGCAATGCAGAGGTAAATAGCATGTTTTGCCTCCTCAGAGTTTCTGTGATGAGATAGCCCTTATGAGTGACTTGATTCAGCCTGTGGTCTCAATCAATTCAGCTTCTATTTTTCTTTGATGGGTATATCCTTAAATTTTCCAAGGAGAGGTTTAAAAGAAGGAAAGCCAAGGTAATGAGGTAAGTCACAGCGGGGCTTTTGCCAACCCAACTCCCGCCGAGCCGGCAGTCACCAGTCTTGCCAGGCGTGCTCGCCCTGACAGACCCCAGCATGGGCACAGCTTGGGAAGCCTCTTCCAAGCCCTGCAAGCATCCCATGCTCTAGAACAGGGATTGAAGGAAGTTCTGTATTATTCTGCAGACCTGGCAGAAATAAGCTAGACATGCATCTAAAATGGACATTTTATCCTCATTGTTCTGTCCAAATTTCCAGCATCCCCAGATTTGTCGGGATGTCCTTAACTTTTCTTTGAGTGAGAAACAGCCACCGTGAATATTTCCCCAACTGATTTTAAAATACTTTCAATGCATAGGCTGAATAGAAGATAACATTGCTGGGACATGATTCACTGTTTTGTAACTTGAATTCCAAAAGAGACTATTTCTTATATATTTCACACACTCACAGAAGGAAGAATTGAAGGCATTATCTAGTATTCCATTAATTTGCTGATAACATATTCATATCCTATTACAATAAATAATGTTAACAAACCCTCCATACAAGATCATCACTTTATCAAATAGCTGAATTACTGGAAATGTATTTAAGATCAAGTGTGACTTTGATCTCACAATTCCTTTAAAATTAAAGTTCATTTAGGGGTACTCGGCTGGCTCCATTGGTAGAACACGTAACTCTTGATCTTGGGGTTGCAAGTTCAAGTTCCACATTGGGTGTAGAGCTTACTTCACAAAAATAAATAGATAAAATTAAAATTCATTTAAAATTCTGCTTTAAAATAGAGTTGACTGTATCTCTAAAAGGATCTTTTGGTGAAATAAACAATAATTCTCTGCTACATCTAGATTGTTTTTAATCTTATGTATTTGTGTTATATTATTTTTTCTTGTGAACATGTCTAATTTCCCCCATTACAACAATAATAGTGTGTACTCCCAAGTGTGTGCTTGTGTTTGTGTATCTTTAAGACTCATTTAGCGAGTTAGTTTAAATCAAGCAAAAGTTGATACAATTACATTCATAATAGTTGCTTGGGGTTTGGAATTTATTGCATGACTATTTAATGGGTATGAGAACTGTCAGAAAAGGAGAGATATTCATGAAGAAAAAAATGTACACACTTTCCTAAGCATTTAGGATTGCAACTCCTGCTTCCACCCATCCCCACTTCTGTGGAAGGACCAAAGCTATGACAGGAATTTTGTGAGAATAAGGAAAGATGGAAAAATAAAAATTCTCTTTAGAAAAGACTTCCCTGAGAGAATCCAAATTGGTTTAGTTACTACAGTTCAGGAAAGAGAAATCAGTCAAAATGGCCAGTCCAGTTGAAGTGCATGCAGGTGGAAGGAAACCTGCAGTGGGGATGTGTCATTTGTCACCCAGCTGAAGCCTCAAGGTCACTATGGGGGGCAACAAGAGGCCACTCGGAGCCAGCTGCCAGTTTGCTCTCACCTAGGAGGCTGTGCAGGATGTTGATTAAATGCTCTACTTCCGTTCAATTATCTGAGAGCTTGGTGTCATTAAAACATTCCATCAGAGTTTAAGGAAAGCTCTGCTACTTGGGGAAAATACATCCTGAAACACACATAGGTGAAAATAGATCCATAACGTTCATACTGAACGTGTCCATGGGTTAAAACCAGGAGCGACTCATTATATGTGCATATTTCATGGCCAGGAATGCGGATTACTTACTCACGAATTACTCACATCACCGATTGATGTTAAGCTTTATTGACCTTCCTCACACCTGGAAATAATATCACCCACCATGTGATTTTAGATGTGCTCCCTGGAAGCTGACTTCACCTCCTCTTGTTTCTAGTTTATCTTTAAAGATTGCTGATCATAAAAGGTGCCATGAGGGTAATAGGGGCTGATGCATGTTCTCTAGTCCCTTCCCATCTCCATCCCATCTCCTGGCTAAGATGAGCACACCCACACAAGTCACTTTTGTTCTATTCCTACTGCCTTAGTTTATTTTCCTCATTTACATCTAAAATCATTGTATTCATTTATTTCATTTCAGTGATGATCTGTTTCTAATCCCAGAATTTAACCTCCATGAGGGTGGGTTCTATGTTGCTCACTGCCTTACCCCGGGGCCTAGAAGAGCTGGTATATAGAGATGCCTGACAAATATTTTTTTAATGAATCAATGAAGTGGCTTAAGTTACAAGATTCTGTAAAGAATCAAAGTCCATTTCTAATGAAAAACAAATTCACAACACAAGGACTTTAACATTCAGTACAATTTTGCCATTGGTTTCTCATTTCCCATAGTTGACTGGTGAAGCTTAAAATTGTTTTGGGTAATGTATGAATGTATGGCTATATGACCTACATCTCTTTTTACAGAATGTAACTCATTCATTCCTCATACTAGTCCCATAATAGAAGTAGAGCAGGTGTGTTAACACTCTTTTTACAGATGATATAACTGCCTCAGAATGTCACATGACTTGTCTAACATCAGATGGTTGAGAATAAAGTCTTCTGATTCACGGCCCAAGGTTCTTTTTAAAAAAATAAATGATATGAGGAGTATAATCATATTGTACTGAATTTCTACCATTCATTCATTCAATTATTTATTACCAAAAATAATTTCATGTCTGCTAAGTGCCAGCACAATTCTATGGCACTGTGTTTGTTTGAGTGGGGGAAACTAATAATAAGCAAATGAATATATTATACACTTTTAGATAATGATAAGTGCTGTAAAGATGTAAAACAGTATAAGAAGTAGAAAGAGCAGAGACGCACTGTTTCAGAAAAAGATGGTCAGGGAGGGCTCTCTAGGAGGTGGCCTAAGTAAAGGTTTGAGTAAAGTTGCCCAGAAGGGAGGATAGCAAGAGTACAATCAAGGCAGTTAATAGGTATTGACCCCCTCATATATTAATTGTATTCCCAAAAGGCTATCTTTAAATCAACCCCTCTAAACAAAAACAAACCAATACAACTCCACAAGAAACATTGTTAGAAAACTCTAAAGGAAGTAACTTCTAGGATAAGTCCCTTTTCTAATGTAAATAGTATGAAATAGAAGCTTCCAAACGAGAGAATAATTTAACCAGATTTGCTGCATAAATGAGTAGTTTGGCTCAAGGGCTTTCTGAAAGCTAGGTACACCTGTACAGTATGGTTTTTCGGAGGCTTTGAAATTAATGTGTGTCCTTACATTTAAATGTGGATGTATCTGATTCCCTTCGAACAATGACTTGATCCAAGAAAATTCCCACTGTTGCTCTCTTGGCCCTTTGAAACTCTCCAGAATGAGGTTGTTTATAAAATTCCAGCCCACTTTCTAGTCTTCCTTGAGATTAAGAAAACTAGTGGGGCGCCTGGGTGGTGCAGTCGGTTAAGCGTCTGGCTCTTGATTTCAGCTCAGGTCATGATGTCAAGGTTGTTGAGATGAGCCCCGTGTTGAGCTCTGTGCTAGGCGTGGAGACTGCTTGGGATTCTCTCCCTTCCTTTTATTCTGCCTCCCACCCGCACTGTCTCTAAGTAAATAAATAAAATCTTTTAAAAAAAAACCCCGAAAACTAGTAATATTTTGACTTTCAAAAACCAACAATGAATACAAAATAACCATAGGAGACTGCCAAAGCACTCAAACTGGAATTAAGTGTATCTCTGTGTTGTACAAATAAAAAGAATTGCTCCCCAGAATATGGGTAAAATGACCTTAGGTTTTGCATACTTTCTGTTATCTTTAAAAAAAAAAACCCTCAACTTTAAATTTCATCTAAATCAGTCTCCAAAGTGATTATTTCCAAAATGTGTCTACTTCTACATTTATCTCATTATCCCTCTGGAAGAAAAGGTGTGAAAATGTAAGTTCACTTTTTGACAGTTTTATGAATTGAGTGGGGGGAAAATCACTGTAAGTTATATAATATGAGTGATCGGTATGTGAAATTTCATCCACCACACATTGAGATTTTGCAGAAAAACTCCTGATTTCAAAAGAAAAGCCATCAAAAATCTACCTCATTCAAATTTTGTCACCAGTCTAAAAGTGTAACGTTCCCAAACAAACAAACAAAAATTACAAAAGTATAAAGTGTAGTGATTCTTGAAGGCTGTGGAATTTTATTTTATAGCAAAAATCCCCCCAAATTTTTACCATGGATTTTGGGTGATGTCTTTATCATACTGTAATATGGTGTAGAGGCTACCAATAGATCTTTGTGTTTTTTTCTAGAGCCTTGTATTTTAACTTGTTGGGTCTCTGGATCATTCTGGTGTGTGCTGTCTTCTCTGGCTTAATCATGTACTCCCACTTCAGAGATTGTGACCCTTGGACTTCTGGCATTATCTCAGCACCAGACCAGGTATGTGTTCGCTTGGGACCAGTGGGGAAATGGCTGAGATGAATGAGTTCATAATGAATATTATGGTTTCTGACCATGAATGAGTAATATGGGTTCTTCCTTTTTTTCCACCTGGATCTCAAGCCACTTCCTAAGCCCAAGAGAGTTGATTTCTTTCTTCTCCTCTTGGGTGGTATCACCACACACCAGGTTTTAAAATGGTGGAGTGACACGTAAAAAGGTATCTCACCTTGTCCATGAAGATAAGGCCAGGGGCCAGGGGTCAGGGCAAGGCTGGGGAGAGTGGAAGTTGGGCTTGAACCCATGGCTTGGTTGTCAATGCAGACTTTCAGTTCTTTTTTTCTGTATGTCTCAAGGTTGATTAAAGACGTTTTATTCTCAAATTGAAGAAAATTACCTTTAATTCTATATAGCTTCTGCTCATGGCTTCTCATCATAGCTTAAACACCATCACCCCAATATACTACATTAAAAAATGAAGGGGGGGAAATTGGAGGGGGAGATGAACCATGAGAGACTATGGACTCTGAGAAACAAACTGAGGGTTCTATAGGGGAGGGGGTGGGGGGATGGGTTAGCCTGGTGATGGGTATTAAAGAGGGCACGTTCTGCATGGAGCACTGGGTGTTATATGCAAACAATGACTCATGGAACACTACATCAAAAACTAATGATGTAATGTATGGTGATTAACATAACATAATAAAATAAAATTTTTTTAAAAAGTGCTTTCAAAAACTCCATTTATGGAGCACGTGTTCAAGAGGAACCATCACTCTCTCCCCACTCTATATTCCACTGTCCCCTCTGTCCCAGGCGGGCTCTTCTCTCACAAATCTGACTACAAGGTAGAACCATAATACCTAGATTCCCTGAAGATGAGTTTTAAGCATTTGTTGTTAGGATTTAACTGCTAACATTAAGGGTAGACAGGCAAGAAAATGGCATATATTGCAAACATAGGAGAAATAAAACAAGTTCCTGAACCTTCTAAAGTCCATCCAACCCTTTTCCCTAATATCAGCTGCCCCTGCCCACCCCCCACCTCCCCTCCAGCTGGAGCTGGACCTCAGGTCCATGAAATCGGATTAATCATAACCTCAACTGCCAGCATGTAACAACCTGAGTCTTCGCAAACTCCTCTATTATTTTATTTTTTTGTCTTTTTTTCCCACCTCCTTTTGCTAGAAAGTGATGTTTTCACATTTCAGACTCTGCCGCTAAGGCCACTAATCCTATCTTGTTTTACCTCCTTCAGCTGATGCCATACTTCGTCATGGAGATATTTTCCACGATGCCAGGACTGCCTGGACTCTTCGTGGCTTGTGCCTTCAGCGGAACTCTGAGGTTAGTATATCGACAACTCTCCGCTCTGACGACGTGGAGGTTGATGACAGTGGTGATGGCAAAGCTGGTGAGGTGACAAGGGTGACGATGGTCATAATCACCACTACTTACTGTGTACTTACTGTGTGTCAGCTGCCCTGATGAATGCTTCATTTGTATGTGCTCCTTTGTTGTATGAGATGGAAACTTGTGAAACTTTATGAAGTAGTTTGGATTTGAAGATCAATAGGAAGGCATTAGAAGTGTTAACCTTAAAAATAAAAACCACCAATGATCTTACCAGCAAAAAATGGGTTTATTGGGGAATAAAAGAGAATTGCAATAAGGGACAAGTAAGGGCAAAACCATAGGTGAGTGTGAGGAACAAAGGAGAGGTCTGTCTTTTTGAGGAGAAAAGGAGTAAGTTGGGAAGGCTGTTATGAACTAAAAGACCAATTGGAGTAAACCGGGAGTTCAAAGCATGGTGGCTTTTCATTGGCTGAGTGGCTGCTGGGGGGAAAGAGGTGCTTTCCCTCTGGCTGGGATAGAGTAGTATCCAAGTACAAGGTCAAGTCTGTGTAAGGTCTAGTCCCTCTCTTCCTGATGGGTCTGCAGTAGAAGTGGTAAGGCATGATTTTGTGGTAGGGCATGATTTTGTGAGGAAAAAAGAGTAAATGGCTCTTAGATTTTACCATTAAATGTGATATCAAGTTTTAATTTGAAAGATACTATTTACATTTAAGAATACTTATTTAAGGGGCACCAGGGTGGCTCAGTCAGTTAAGGGTCCCACTCTTGGTTTTGGCTCAGGTTGTGATCTAAGGGTCCTGAGATGGAGCCCTGTGTTGGGCTGTGCACTTAGTACAGAGTCTGCTTGAGATTCTCTCTCTCTCTCTCCTGCTCCTCCTGCTTGTGCTCCCACTCTCTCTCTCTAAAATAAATAAATAAATCTTAAAAAAAGAATATCATTTAAGTTAATAAATTGTAAAAAAGAACAAAACGCATATACTTATTCTACTTTTAGGAAAGTTTTCATTGGAGATATTGAATTTTATTAAATTTTTGGCATTTTTGAAGTGTTTTTTTAACTTTTGGCATATTAATATGTTGACATATATCCAAATTAGCAATATCCTTGAATTCATATAATGACTTGAACTTGCTTCTGGTGTAATTCTGATTTAGTTTACTACTGAATTATTTTTGCTAATATTCTTTTTAGGATTTTGCTTCAGTAACACAAAGTGTTATTATTCCGTGGTGTTGAGATTAAGATCTCAGGGAAACTTGGGACAGAAAAAATGAGCACCAGAGAATCAGTCACAAAGAAGGGTGGCACTCTAGCTTTTATTTTGTCCCTCTCTATAGAGCTTTACTTATTTATCTTTTTCTCTTACTCTAAGGCTGAGTCTCTCCAGATTAAAGAACATGTAGTTGTCAACAGATAATTCCCCCATAAGAGAATGGATGGCTCTTTTGGTCTCAAGCCCAAAACTTCTAAGAGAGGGACACAGTGGACACTCCATGCTATAGAGAGATTCCTTCTGCTACAACCTTAAGTCAGATGTTGAGTTGAGAAAGGAAAAGACAGGAATAGGGATACAATAAATAGATAGTGGTTGAGGGATAGGAAAAATTAAAAAGAAAGATTTCTACCATCTTAAAGAAGCTTTAGAATCTGAGAAATTGGCATATGGATAATATACCTGATTACAAAGGCAACGCAGGAGAGGTTCTATATGGGCCAAATTCAGCGTTTTGCTTCCTCTCTCTCAAAGGATTTGAGAGTCAACCCTAATGTTTGAGACTTTCAGATGATGTATTTTGAGACAAAACTGTTGGGAATGTGGACTCTTTTTATTTGGACACCTACTTTCCTTATTTGACTTTCATGGAGCTGCAGATAGAAGGGGAGTCTGGCAAGAAACACGCACCATGCATTGATTCTCAGGAAAAAGGGAATGTATCTCAAAGTACTTACAGTTTCAATTCCCTAGAAATGGGTTTTAGGAAATTTCTACTTGCTGTATCTGCCTCTTAGGAAAGGAACTTTTAATTTTGCATGTGATGGACCTGGAACTATTCCAACTAAAGTAAGCTACAGCTAAAATTAATGGTACCATTATCCCGCATTACAGAAAAAAGAAAAAGTTTGAATTTTCTCTCATGCTGTTGGCACAGCTCTAGCTTGTCTTCAGATGAGCACTGGAGGATAATAAAACAATTAGCTACTGAATATCAGCAGAAAATTTACAAACAGATGGCCAGATTTTGTTCATCAGCTGGTTTCTTTTCCAGAACTTTTGTTTGTGGTTGTGATTTTGCATAACATGAATTTAATACTGTTATCTATTCTACTACCTAAAATATTCCTGGTCTGTATGAGGAATTAAATAAGCTTTCATGCTATTCTTTTTTTTTTTTTTTAAGATTTTATTTATTTATTTGAGAGAGAGAGAATGAGAGAGAGCACATGAGAGGGGGGAGGGTCAGAGGGAGAAG